ATTTTATTTTGTCGTTGTCTTTGTCGTTTGTTTACTAGCGCTTAGAACAGATTTGTATTTGCGCTTTATAAATAAATATTATTATTAATATTATTATAAAGTCTGGGTCCCTATGTGGCTTGATTTCACGTCCAGAACGTGATCTCGTCAGTACAGGGGTTGAATCTGTAGACTTGAGTCTGGTGCCTTCATCACCGAACGTCTTCGGCTTCCACAGTGTTGCTGTCTTGCCTTGCTTGGTGGGTGTTGGTGCTGCCAAAGTGTCTGGAGTATCTGTAGGAGAAGGTAGAGACATTGGCATTTCATGATCAGGGGTTGCTGATGGTGGCATAGGTTCAATCGGAGTAACATCTGACAAGTTTCCCGAGAATTGCAACGGAATTGATCGTCTGGGGTCGCCGCTGTGCAATGTTGGCATAATGTGGTTTAATGTCATGCTTATTGCGTTTCAGCCTTCTATTGCTCTTGTCATTGATGATCCAGTATGAATCTGGGGTGGCATCCTTAGACTCAATGTATCCTGGCTTCCACTCATCTGAGTTATCATCGATGAACCAGATGGGCTTGTTAGGGGAATAGAAGACTTTGTTCTGTTTGGCAGGCTTCAGATGTGCTGAGCGCTTTTCACTAAGACAAGTCTTTTGCTGATCCGTCAGTGGTACCGGTATCATGGTCCTGCTGAGGCGGGTATTGATCCGTCTGTTGTGGAACAGCTCTGCAGGTGATGGCAATGTGTCACTCAGTGGGGTGTCCAGATATGTTGTAAGCGCTTTAGTGATGTCAATGTCATTTGCATTTTTCTTTAACATCTGTTTAACAGTGGCAACTGCTCTTTCTGCTCGCCCATTACTTTGATGGTAGTGTTGACTGGAAGTAATGTGTCCAATATCGAGCTGCTCGCAGAAGTGTCGGAAGCTGTTGGATTTGAAGCATGGGCCGTTGTCAGAGATGATTTTTTCTGGAAGTCCAAACTTCCTGAATATGCTGTTCAGCACCTTAATGACTGCATCCGTTGTCTCGTTGTTAAGGATGTCACAGGTGAGAAATCCAGAGAAGTAATCAACTGCGGCTGTGATTTGTCGTTCTGGGGGTCTTGTCTTCTTATTACCATATCTTTGGCACTCGTCACACTTTTGGATCATTTCTGTGATGTCATCCTGTAACTTTGGCCAATACACTGTGCGTCGTGCACGTTGAAGTGTTGAGGTGAGACCCTGGTGTGCATCATGCAGGCGATCGAGAGTTCCAGGTCTCATCCCTGTAGGAATGATGACTCTGTTTCCTTTCATGACAAGTCCGTCCAGGATTGTCAATTCATCTCGGAAGCACCAGTATGGGTGTAGATGTTGAGGTAGATCTTGCATACTATCTGGCCAACCGGTGATGATGAAATCTGTTAACTCTACCAAGGTATGATCAGCCTTTGTCTCTTCTTGCAATGATTCGAGCCGAGTAGGCTCCACTTTCATGACCTGCGCAATATTGATGTCCAATCCAGGAATTTCTTTGCCTTTGCTGGGTTCAACAAGACGAGACAGAGTATCAGCCAGCAGTACACTCTTGGATCCAACGTACTTTACTTGGATGTGGTAAGTAGAAAGACGGAGTAGCATCCTCTGCAATGTTGCTGGGGCAATTCTTATTGGTTTCTGAAAGATGCAATGTAGGGGCTTGTGATCTGTGTGTACAATAACTTCTCGCCCAAACGTATATGTGTGAAGCTTTTCACATGCGAACAAGATTGCAAGGAGTTCCCGCTCTATATTTGAATAGTTCATTTCTGCAGGTGTGAGTGCCTTACTCAGGAAGCGCACAGGTCTGCCATCTTGGATCAGAACCGCGCCAAGACCTTTCTGAGATGCATCAGTTTCGATGACAGCTTGTTTGTTTGGGTCGTAATGGATAAGTTTGGAGGCGTCCGCGATGCCTTTCTTGATGGAATTCAGTTCCTTTTGCATGTCACTGGTCCATATGAAGTGTATGTCTTGTTTCAGCAGACTGCGCATGAGATGAGTTTTCTTGGTCAAGTTGGGGATGAAGGTAGACATGAAGTTCACTGTACCCAGTAGGCTTTGCAGCTCTTGTTTGTCTGTTGGGGCAACCAGTGCTTGGATAGCCTTGACCTTTTTCGGGCATGGAGCAACACCTTGCGGAGTGATAACATGTCCAAAATACTCGATTTGCTGATTTTTGATAACGCACTTGTTTGGGTTGAATTTAAGCCCTGCTTGGCTTGCTTTTTCAACAGTTTCCAATAAATGGATGTCATGACGCTCTCCTGTTGAACCTTGTATCTTAACATCGTCTGCACACGGGAATGTGCCAGGGATGCCAGACAAGACTCGATCCATGTGCTCGCAGAAGATTTCCGCAGATACTGATAGTCCAAATGGTAGGCGAAGGAAGCAATATTTCTTGAATGGTGTATTAAATGCGGTGAGTATCTGGCTCCGCTGATCAAGCTGCTTGGTCCAGTACCCACTCTTGGCATCGAGTGTGGAGAAGTACAGACCATTCTTGAAGCTGTGTATAACATCCTCCCAAGATGCAGTGTAGTGGACGTTACGGATGAGGTATTTGTTCAGATTTCTTGGATCAAGACATAAACGCAGAGTTCCATCCTTCTTTACGACAATTACTAGGTTGTGCACCCGGTCAGTTGTTTCTGGACGAGCTCGGATGATTCCTTGTTTCATCTTGTCTAGTTCCTTCTTTAGCTTTGGCATAATACTTTGTGGCACTGCACGGGGTGGTAGCTGAACCGGTTTAGCATCAGGTGAGAGTATGAGTCTGGCCTMACCTTCAAAGAGACCGACCTGGCCATCGAAGATCTCGGGGAAAATCTGCTTGAGGTCCTCCAGATGGTCGCCTGTTTTCCTCCCAAGTGTTAGATGCTTCTTCCATTTCTTTTGGAGCTGATTATAGTTGGCTTCTGATTCATCAGTGATGTGTACAGCCTCTATCTGGTTAGGATCCACGGATATGCTTTGCTGTATGCAAACAGGTGCGATAGTCACTAGCTCAAACTTCTTACAGAATTCAAGACCAAGAATAAAGGCACATACATGTTTTGTAATGTAGAACCTGGTTTTTTCAGTGATGTTGTTGCAGGTGACATTGACATYCATTGTTCCACAGTTTTTAAGGTCTGCTCCTGACGATGGCATTGCTGGGCTTAAGATCCTTTTTGGAGAGTCCAATCTTTAGAAGCAAGGAGAGCCTTGCTTCAATGAGAGATTCGGCGTGAGCACCAGCCCAGATGTAAATGTGATTTAAATTAACTTTGTCTGACCTGGAGGCTAGAGGTCCATCTATGATTCTTTCCACTTCTTTTCTCCACAATTTGAACTGTGAAAAAGCACTATTAGATGTCCAGTCGACCTTTGTGTGTGGGACATAATGTCCTTCTGCCATATTGCTCTGATAACACACRCGAGATAGTGCTTGCTGTGGGGTTCAAAGTTTTACGATTCTTTTACACAGAATGTCATAAAAGAAAAAACTCAGCGAATTTGTCTACGACCACTCGCGTGAGGTGTACCTGAAGTCACGTCGGGGTCACCATGCTGTAGTTTCTTTGYGCTTTTATTTACAATAATCACAGTAAACTACTTTAAATGTGGGAAAAGAGCTAACAAACATGGCGGCTGCCAGCTAACATGAGTAAAGTAACGCCTTGGAATGCGGAGACAGGTAACAAGTATTAAGTCACGTGATAATATGAATATATCTAACACTTAATATGCACAGGCACAAAAACTGATACAATACAAGCCAGTGCTTTGCAGTTATTACAAACAAAATTTAACCATCACAAAACAAAACAATATATTTGACATGATACTAGGTGAGACCTCTTTAGCTTGGGAGAAATGTTTTCCAAACTTCTGACCAATGTGTCATTCCTTTGTGAATAACTGTTCATTTGAGTTGCATCCATATTCATGTGCAACCATTAAACAAAGAAATAATACTCTAGGGAATGGCACATGGCCTGAAATGGGAAAACATTACACCCAAGGTGAAGATGTCTATTTTTAGCTTGTCTCATTATAATCCCCTTTTAAAGACCAGAGGACCACTCCCCTGGGGATTTTTTGCTCTTCTCAGAGGACCACTCCCCTGGAAATTTTTTGCTCTTCTCAGAGGACCACTCCCCTGGAAATTTTTTGCTCTTCTCAGAGGACCACTCCCCTGGGAATTTTTTGCTCTTCTCAGAGGACCACTCCCCTGGGGATTTTTTGCTCTTCTCTCAATGTCTCCAGAAAAGTTTGTTCGCATCAGACATCTGTAAACCCATTATGTAGGGATTTATTTCCAAAAAAGAATGTCACTTTATCATTAAAGTTGTGCATTCCTGGGTAAGCAATGAGCCAAGCTAAAGAAGTGCTACAATAACAAAAACACACAATGTTGTCATTATGGCTCTAGAGGTGGATTTAAAGCATTACTTAAGTACTGGTGATGACTTCATATCATGCAGATTAGAGGTCTGACCCACCTTGTTCCTCTGTCATGTAAAGCTGTCCCGATTGTTGCTTGGCCAGCAACTCTGCCTCCTTTCTCCTCTTTCGTCTCTGCAACAGAAATTATACTCTTTCAACTAAATGAATTTTGCTCAAAATTTCTTCACAAAGTGAAGAATGTACCACTTACTGATTACGGACACTTTGAAATTGCATACCCCTTGATGTAAACATATGAATATACAAAGCAAAAGAGGTTTAATATAGAATATGAAAAGAGTTATTTTTTAATGTGGCTAAAAAGTTGTTTGGAAATTGATAAAAATCCTTTCATTGGATAAGATGATTTATGTCCTCAGTAGGCTAGCTTGGTAGCAGGTACCTGTTTAGCAGGTACTACACAGCCCCAAACAAGGTGTGGTGCTGAATTGAGAATAAAAACTGTAAAAAAATCCTGCATGCAAATAATTCCATGCTTTTTGTCTGACTTTTCATAAGAAGACTGAAAATATTTACACAGAAAAATGCTTTTAGTTAATTATTTCAGATCAAAAAATGGTGTTAAGATGATGGCTTTTGTGTGTTCATAATTGATTCTTAATTAAGAAGGTAACTGTCTCATATTGCTTGTCTATTTTTTTAATATTTTGTAGAAGAGATGTGAATTTTGATATATTGCTGTTGATCGATTCAGAGAAAAACAAGCGTTGTATACAGTGATGTCTCAAGCCACACCTAGCAGATTATAAACATTAACAAAAACATACTAAAGAGAATGTCTGGGTACATGAATAAAGAGAAGGCACATTAATAAATGTACTAACAACAGTGCGAAGTCCATACACCTCGCTAATATCCTGAAACCCAACAAAGAAATTATATATTTATTTCCCTTTTCTAAGCCAGTAGAAAGATGAAGCAGACAGACAGACAAACAGCTTGACAGACAAAATGGAAAGCTTTTGTTTTGAATACATAAAGTTAGTAATTAGCTACATGAAAAAAACGTCTAAAAGTTTGCATTCTAGAATATTCTAAGAAATATTTGAAGCAATTTGTAAGGAGCATAAATCATGATTGTTTGTGGTTGTTGTTTGGTTTATCTCGTGTTAAATCTCCTCAATGAAGTCTCTACAACTTCTTAATTTTTTTTAACTATTATTTTCGCTTTTCGCTGCGACAGAATTATTCTTTACTAATCTTTAATTATTTTAGCTTGTACAGTTATGAAATAAAGTGTGTTTGGTAATCTTTTAGATTGTTATCGATAAATACAGCTTTTCAAAACTTTCGTGGCATCTTACACCTATTTGGAAACCTCAAAAATTTCTGGACAATAGGAGCTCTTATCAAGCGAAAAAAGAAACAACTTAAATCTCAGGATGACAAATTAAAATTACGCATGATATTTTGTACAAATGTACGTACCTTGTAAAGTTTATAAGCAATAAATAAAGCAATTATTGGTAGGATATAGCGCCAAGGAATATGGTAGCCAAGAATGTTGAATTCTTTCGCCGTGGTGTAGATCTTAGCGACAAGATGGACATGTGGCTTTACGTGTTTTTCATAATTCTTCTTAGCTGTCGGATAAACCAATGCAAAAGCAACTCCTAAGACAGCTAGTGCGAATAATTTGAGCTTGACTCCCATTTTCCCGTTGAGATCTGCAGCGATCGCTGTCGAATATGTTTCAATGTTAAGAACGCCTCATCAAGCAGTTTTGTTTACAAGATTTGGCGCGTGCGTACAGCCGATTAACGCGGGAAAGCTGCCTCGATTTCGGGGAGCCAATCACTGATCACCAACATGCATAATAAAAACTGCCCTTCGGCCTCTGCGGTTAGCTTGCGAGTCGACTTTACTGGTAAAATTTCAGAATAAGAATCAAATTTGACTTATCATTTATTTAAATTCGACATCTTACTGATATTTTCACGAACAAAACAGCTTTAAAAAATTTTTCTTCCACTTTTCCAGTTTTAAATTTCACTTTGCATTTCCCCTTTTGATTTCATCCGTGAATTGAGCATGAACCAACTGGATTAATTTTGTCCCCCAAACAAAACTCATGGCATTTGACTGCCAAATTTTGAATACTATGTTAAAAATRTATTATTCCAAAGTCCAAAATTCTAGCCAAAAAAGCCGACTCCAGACGAAATATTATTTAACAATTGTTGTTGCCCGACATTTTTTCTGCCAATTTTCCCTAACCACTCACCAATACTATACAAGAATTACCCAGCCATGATATTCTGCGAAAATTCCTCGTTAAATAAGTCATATATCCAAGCATTATTCCAATATCAATATTTTGTTTAATTCTCTTATAGCTTTACTCTAGTAGCCACCCGCAAAATTACAAAAAAAAAAAAAAAAAAAAAAAAAAAAGAAA